TCTAAATACACCGAGATCCAAAAAAAATAACTCCATAAATTAATACCTTTCGCTTCTATGTTAAACATCTTTTTTAGTGGATTGTTAAGAAAATGGCAATAGTAGTGTTAACAGGGCGAGTTAAAAATAATAGTATTAACCACTGAGCGGGGAATAATGGAATTGGAACGTGAAACATAAGGTGAAAATTCTGAAGCGAACGCCCTCGACAAAATCACCCGGTCCCTTCATCATTAAATCCAATACCATAGTCCTTGCTCAATTGCTATTAGGGATAAACCTCAACCGCTCTCACTAATGGAAGTCCTTGCTCTTTTTAAACATTTAACGGCAAGAGAAAAATCGTTGAGGTGACACTGGTATAATTACGCAGCAGAAACTAACTGGCTGCTGTAACGCGGAAATTAACGCGAAATTTTAGAATTCCTCTAACTTCAAATCCGCACGGCTCGCAACATATGAAAAGTTTCGGCCATCAATAATAACTTTCAAATATAAAAGTCTAATATACAAGCTTGCAAACAAGCGACCATCCCTTATAATGTTCCTAAAGCATATAAGGGGAGAGAATGGAACGCAATTTCTTTTTATTTATATATCTCATATCTCAACTAGTCATAAATGTTTGATATACACCCGGTGACAAAAACGTAATATACCTACGCCCTTAAAAAGTTGCGTCTTTAAAACACCGCCAACTTCGAAATTTATGTCGTTCTTTGGATTAATTTTAACAATAATTTATTTCTACAATTTTACCCATTGTATCTACATGATTGTAGTTATTTTACAAGGTGTTGCAAAATGAATTAGACTTTACAATTGAACATTAACCTTACTTAAACAACGTTTCAATCGGTGTATTTCGAATAAGTTACGTGTCAAATTACAAATTTCTGTCTTAACCAGGAAATAAACTTAAAACTCACGTAAAATGGCCATCCTGAAAGCGTAAAGATCGTTTCCTACTTGTGAGTGGTATCGATTTATAAAGTTCTGTTGGTGTAACTCAGAGGCTTTTCATCTTATGGAATTCCAGGGCCGCACTTTCCGACTTTCCTTCAATTCCACCAGAACGATATTACATCGATATAATAAAAAATCAACTCTATTAGACCTAAATGAAGTAGGTATCGCAAAAGAAATTATTTAACATGCATTATTTAACACCTGTAGACGCAGAAAATTCTATTTTTCAACTAAATTAGCAAATTACTCAATACAAATTCGCTTTATTTATCTCCAAATCTCAGGCGGGCGCGGCATAAAATCATATTCTCGAATTGAATGGGAAATTCGTTGATCGACTAGCATCGCAGCTGTCTTAACAACCCTCTCCATTGCGATTCTATTAATAACCAAACGCCAATTATTTCGCCGCAGACAATTACATAAACTTATCAGACGGAATTTCTCTCTCCGGTACGGCGAACGAGCTGGAAAAAAAGCCCGAGCGAAATAGAAGAAAAGAGCCGAATAAGTTGTAAAGCGAGACCACCCCACTACATGCCTGCTATCAAAGCAATAAAGCTGTTATCAGCCTTGACGACAAACTGTCTTACCCTAAACACGATGGGCTGATATGTCGAGGAGTGGGGCATTTATCCTGTGGGATAGACCATCCCACTTGCTCCTCCCTAGGACACGCCCCTATCAGGAAGCTCAATTTCCAGGAGCATCTTGATTGCAGTGCCGAAATAGAATCCGTGAATGCTATATTAAGTCTTGCGTAAAGTCGTTTTTTTTTGGCTGTGGGTGAGTGTGTGCCTGTGTGATGTTGATCAATTTTGAGTGATTTTATTTAATACGCTCGATGTACTCAAACGCTCGTTCGATATGACAGGTAGGATTGCAGTTAGATATATATATAAAATGAGGTTGTTACGTAAAGAGTTTGGAGTGTATTAGACGTTTTTGCTGTTAATTGGTTTTGGTGGAATGTTCGATGTAAATGGGAAGGAGGTCTTGTGTTTGGTGGTAATGGATATTTTCGTAATTCCGACGCGTTTAGGTGTATTTAAGTCAGAATCGATTGAGCGAAATATAAGCAGGTATACTCAAATTAAGTTCATAACTTGTATACTTAATTAAGAAACAATGATTTTTATTATGAATACATCAGTACTATTAGTTGTACCAATAATCATTTTTCTATACAGTATTTAGGTGCCTTTATGACGATTGATATGTAGTTGATAATTTTTTCTACCGGAATTTATTCATTTATACAACAAATTCGGATTTCCTAATTGTGATACCTACACCCATTTTGGTAAATTAAAATAATACAGTAAACTGCATTGCTTTACCTAATAACCTATAATATTGAGTACCTATACTTAAAAAAAACTGAAATAAGTTATTATTTCAGTTTATAAGTTATCTACATAAAATATTCTTGGAATCAGAATATGGATATTTAATGGAATTACTAAAATCAACAGGTGTAAATATTAGACTTGTTTGATATTAGATCTATTGATTTTTTACTTAATCGATATATTACAGTGAAACTCGCATAAAAATGTCAATAAAGGGACTTAAAAAGTTGCCTGATTACAGGGCTATATATTTATATTCTTTGCAACTATTAAATCATTCAAATTCAGAAATAATATTAAGTATATTAAAAATATACTTGATTTATTTAGGTTCACATTTAGGCACATTGCAAAGCGTATTTTACCAAAATTTCCCCTAAGATTTTAACATTAATATTGTTTTTAATTAAAAAAACACTCTATACTGCATTAACTCTTCTTTACTACATTTCAATACGCTTCAAAATCTTAATAAAACGATAAAAAATGGTGCAGAATAAGTTGGGATGTGTGAAAGATTCCGCCCGAATTAATTTAACACAATATAGTAGTTCAAGCCCTCCGAATTTCGGCACTCGACGTGTTAAATTATTTTATCTTTCGTGGGTAAGTGTACGTGAAACTTTATGATTCAATTGCGGTTAACAATGAGTTTTACGCGGTTTTGGTTATCAAGAGTGACAACAACTAGGGTCTGACATCAGGTACAGTGTACCTGTTTTTATTACCTGGGCCTGTATACACGTTGTGGATCTCTTTTCCCAAATTTTTGGTTTCTATAGGGGGAATTCGGAAGATGATTTGATTTTTTTATTATATACGAATTTGTAACCGACAATCCGTTGCAAGGGTTATATTTTATTAAAAGACACGAAAACGTAACTGGTTCGTGTATGTTTAGTCGAAAAGTGGATCTATTCAGAAAAATTGTTTCCCACATCAATCCTCGGACCTTCGGGTATAAAAAGTAAAAAGAAGGGTTTCATCTACCTAGTATTTCTACTATTTTTTTGTTAGGTTTAAAATGTTTTAATTCAATTTATATTAGATACCTATTCGTACTTTATAAACTTATTGAGACCATTATAGGATTCTCTATAATTTATCATAACATATATCTTGCATCAAAACGAATAACAAATTTGATTTTTTAATCAACTGTTATACAATATGGATGAATCACCCTGTTTTAATTATTCTTAAAATTATTACATTCATCCAAAAAAAATGATATTTTCGATTAGTCTAAAACATAAATTCCACACTGTGTATATCCGAGAATATCATTTCCACGAATTAAACCGTTGATTGTTTAGTCAAAGTGACAGACGAGCCTCTCTCGCATACAAGCGATAAGTCAACTTTTCCAATATCTCTTGGGGATGCATTTCGAGTGATCGGAGAGCGATAATTGAAGTGTTATTGCCCTTCTCGGGACTTTCCTCCGGTGTCACTCACAAACTTTCGGTACACCGGTTTCGATTGTAGGCACACAAATGAGCTACTTTCGGGGGTATACGTTCGATTTTAAGATTATTACGTTGTTATGAATTATTCCCGGGGATGCGGACGGGGATCGGTTGTTTTTCGAGTGATTTCGTTTCCTCTCTGGTTGCGGTTGAAATCAATCGATGCTAATAAATAAATCAGGACCGGATTCAAATTATTTAGGTGTTTCCGAGAAATGAATAATGGGAATACAACGTTAAAATTGGTGGGTTTTATATATCGAAGAATTGATGCACTGCGATAGAATAGAGCGTGTCCGCCATTTTTACAATAAACACCTACGCCAAGTTGTATCTAAATTATTTTGAGCAAAATTTGATGTCGATAATTGTAACTTTTGTGCTTTTATATAAATAAAACTCCAATATAAAAATTTTGCTGTATAGCAAATAATTAAATTGTATCAAATATTTTATTTTTACCTAATATTTATCTACTGTAATTTTTCCGTAAATTAAAAACAACGGTAAGTATTCGTGATAAAAAACTGATTTCCACGTTCCGCAATTACTAAAATATTTATATCTAACATCTATTGTTTCGGCGCATATAATTTCCTTATGCATATGCTTATAACATATGTCATTTGATATTGAGACAATAAAATACCTTAACTTAATTAGAACAATCCTGAAATAAAGAACTTAAATAGAAATAATTAAATTAGGAGGAACTGCATGGGAATCGAGCATTATTATGGCACTAATTACTTCAAAAGATTCAAAATTTGTTCATATTTTAATAATATAACACAGCAATAAGCTCTTATCTCTTTAGAAATTTAAAATGGACCAAAATAATTGCATGATGTGGGTACATTATAATTGTAATAACACGATTACTCTAATTAAAAGTTAATGATAATTTGTGGTTTTTGTGGCTACTTTTGACTACATGTAATCTTAGGATATCCGCTAGATGTTTCGGCCGAATATTAATTAGGCTTTCTTTTCGAAAGATAATTTAAGATATTTCGGTTTATTTACAAGACGACAGAGAATAGAAAATTTAATTGATTGCGATTAGGAGCGCGATAAGTCGAACGACAGAACGCACACGCCTTATCTGGAGGAAGTTTTCGAATCGAAAATATACACTGAGAAGAAAACGCCCGATAAATCGGTTAATCGAATTGATCGTTCGTAAACTCACCAAAGTTTTCTTTTGCAGAAGTTTGTGACGATGAATTAGAAGTCACTGACAGAGAGCATTATCAGAATAATCGAAAACCCGCCGAGAGAATGGTACCGCCTCAAGAAGAGGCCGAGAACAGTCAGTACTACAATTTCGATAAGAATTATTGCAAGGCCCAAAGCGTCGACAGCAAATCCAAAACTATTATTAACGACATTTTGGTGGAGAACAACCTGGATTTAGTCAAACAAGAAAAGACCAAAATCGACTTGTATTCCGCCAACGATGGAGATATAACGGCCAGCCGTTTGCTTCCCAACGAATTGGAGTTGAGAGAAGAGGGAGTGTTCGCCAAAACAACGGTAATCAAGGGCACCAAATACGGCCCTTTTCAGGGCAAATGGGCTAGCGTTCCTCACGATACTAAATACGCGTGGGAGGTAAGTCTATCATACAATTAAAATCGTCCTTTCAAACGCGCTCGAATGTACTTCCAATTTCAAAACTAGAATCTTCGACATCAGGCGCGTGAAATTTTAAGGGCCTGTGTGTGAGATCGAACCGATCCATTATGCATCGACTGTTTTCGCATATTTCATATTCAAATCAGTTTAGGTATTTTCTATATCGACTGAGCTGTTATTAAAATTAATAAAACATTTACTATGCCTTTGAATATTTTTGCATGATAATCAAACCGATTCGAATTGGAAGAAATATAATTTTCTAACATTAACTAATATTGTAGGTATTTATATACATTTAATTAAAAATTCTTGTACAGTAGGTAGGTAATTTTATAAAAAATTTAAAAATACAGATAAAATAAATTATTTATAGATATAATATAACGGATTATAGATATTTTTATAGTCATAAGTTAAGATGTGCACCCTTTTGGAATACAAAATACAACATAAACAAATGAATATACATCGGGGATTTTTTACCCACCCTTTTATCAAATATTAATTTTGGTTAGTTGCCCATTTCGTGTGACGCAGGGTAACATTTTATGGATGTGCAATTGTTGCGAACTACCTTATTGACACGTCAGAGTGATCCATCTGTTGTAGAGATACAAAAAGTCTTCTAAAAGGCTCGGTGATTGATTTTAGTCGATCTCTTTTACCGTACATCGGCTTAAATGTTTGATGTTTGGTTTCCAATTGTTATCTGACGTTTTGTAGGCACGTTATCGGAGAGGGAATGTCGCTTTCCTCCGGTGAATTTATTGCGACTCTCCGCTGATGCCGTTTTAAATCTATTTACTTCGCTTTGCTCATATACAGGGTGACACAAATATACCACCAAAAATTTTGATTAATATTTAACCTGTACTCTACGTACCTACGTACAAAAGATTCTAATGCAAAATATAGGATATTGATTTATTGTATAATATATAAAAGCAGAAATTTACATACTAAACATAGCATGGAAATAGAATTGATACATATTTAATTACCTATTGACTATACAACATAAATAAATTTGTAGTATAACATGAGAGTTTTTACACATCAAATTTTGCATATATTCAACGTAAAATCAAAAATTGAAATATCATCTGCGATCCCGTCAGATCGCCTATAAATATATTAATGCATGCAACACCCCACATACACGGAAGGGGCGAACGTGCTGAAAACCTGCCGTGAATTTCGGCAGGGGGTGGTAGACGGGAGGGAAATCTGAAATCTTTGCATTGTAGCCGACCAGGGAAATAACCGCTTTGTCCTGTTCCATCGGAGCCTCGAGCTCGGAATCGAATGAATTAACTTGTAAATGCGGCTTACAAAAACGTGTTATCTTGTCGCAAATATGGTGAGAAAGGTATTTCTCACTATCGCAGATATAATAGGAGGGTTCGCTACCGTGCAAATTATGATATTCAATTCGAGACCGGTCGTTGTGTTATTATGGCGTGCCTACTTTTATGCTAAAATACGAGTTTACAAATGAAATATATTTTTTATTAAATTATGAAACGATACGAGGATCTTGCTGAAGTTACATACATTTTATTAATTTTAAATTAATTAATCTCGAACGATTCGTATGATGAGGAAAATTATCCTGTGCCTGCCCTGCGGCGATTGTAAGTTGTAAGTTATAAGTTTTGCTCGCATCTTAGTCATCTACAATTTTGGGCAATTTCACGAAAACCATAACTCATCAATTTTACAGATGATTGCCAGAAGTCAGATGCACATTTAGCACATCGTTTACTTGCCTTTTTCTACCATGTTTTTCGCTCGATTACAATCTCTATTCCTACTTCGGATGGCATGTTCCTTCTAAACAATTTAACTATCAAAAAAGCGCGCTCCTCGAAATAACCGATTTTGGTTTTTACGACACAGAGAAAAAAACATTTTACTCGCTTAATTTACTTAATTAATAAATTGAAGTAGTTAAGAGCCTGTATTTTGTAAAATTTTTTTGTAAATTGATACCATTAGATTAAATCGCGTGTTATTAGTTATTGGTTAGAGTTTGTAATGTTAACTAATAAACGAGATGCCATTATTAAATTTGATAACTGTCCAGTATGTCGCACCCGACGAAGCACTTTTTAGTGCCCTTCATTTATCTCATTCCAAATGATATATCTGTTAGTTAGGCCCCATGTATTGTCGAACAAAACGCCCTAATTAATATTCCTCGATGATAAGTTAGTTTTTAATCCCAGCAAAGATCACTTTTTGAATTCCGAACCTGGATTCCTTTATTCACTATTTCCTATCTTTTGTATACTAAATTTATCCCATTTAATATTCCACTAAAAATATCCCGTTATTATCTGACCTCAATAAATTTGATTTAAGAAAATCAGCTTATGCTGTTATAGTTCTGAAAATTGATTATTTTTATTCAGCTCCGCTTGTACACGACTAATCTGACACATCTGCAACACTACTCCCCTTTCTAAATAAATCAGTCGAAAACAATATTGCTCTGACCTTTATGTGATTGCTACAAATATTTTTAGTATCCCTACGGTCATGCCCATATGTTATTTAATATGAATTTAGAAGGATAAACGAAATGTTCTCCCGTTTTATTTGACGGATATAGAAATGCGTCCGGTGCAGGTAGATGATACATTTCGATATCGCATTACTTACAAAAGAGAAACACAAACCTAATCGAATTTAGAAATTCTTTAGTAAATGGAGATCGGGGCAAATACAAATTATTAATTATTAAACTTATTCCCGTTCTTTTTAGTGTCATAAACACACTAATTGTTACTGGAAATTTAGAAGAATTCGTTGGATTTTTGATGTGATTTCAATTGAAATTTTGAGTGAACTTTCTTGGGAAATCGATTAAGGAAGTGAAATCGAAGATAGTGGGGCGTCGAAAATAAGTCGAAAAGTAATTAGTATATCGTCATCTACAGGGGTGAAAGTATGGTTGCAAGTGGTGTTTCTAACAAGGGGAGGGAGCGTAATCAAAATGTCACGTTTGTTATTAGCTCGTTTATCAGTTAACATCTGGCTTTGATAGCTTCGTCTTGACCTTTATGTATATTTTTTCGTTTGGATACAGAATTGATGGCATTGAGGAAAACTTCGGATTTGTTAAACTTTTTGTAGCAGTCGAATTTCTTATTAGAAATCTGTTTGAATTTGTCCCCTAATTCTAGCTATAATTAATTAAATAAGTAGGTACCAATCTTTACTATAATTAAAAATATTTTTATTTAATTGATATTAGTAATAAAAAACGTTGTAAAATGCTGTTTACAAGTTACTTTTGGGCCGCTTTATCTAAAATTTATCAAGAAAAATATTAAAATATATTATCAATGCATAAGCAAATTGCAAATAGACCTTTAACGAGAATGTCTTCCCTTTGGTGACACTAGAATTTGATGCGGCGCCAATAAATATGAAACAACTCTTTATGTATATCATACAAGTAGATAATGTAGAATTACTAGGAAGTAAAGTATCGTTACCTTCATTCCTTGTTATCGTCACATTCATTTCTTGGAAGACTTTTCAAAATAACTAAATATCAACCACTAGAAAATTGATAACTTGATATAATAAATAAAGATCGATTTGTCCTAAAAAAAATATAGATTTCTCGGTTCCTAAGGTGAATGACTTGGATTTGCGAAATATTATACCGCCCAATTTAATAATTATGAGCACCTTACGGGAATTAATTTTGAGATATTCCATGTATTACAAGTTCAAGTAAGTCTTCTCCATAATATACTAATAAGTAATGGTAATCATTTTCAGATTATCACGGGCAGTGGTGTTAGAGGTTGGCTGGATGGATCCATCAATCACAGAAATTGGTTGAAGTTTATTAAAATCGCTTCTACGAAAACTGAGGCCAATGTGAAGTATATTTTACACGGCGGTCAGGTACTTATTCCTTTCTTTCAACAATTATATCGCTTAATTTCATATTTCTGTGTATAATATGCCCTATTTAATATCTGTTCCTAACAAAAAAAAAAGTGATAAAAGGATAGGCACCGCCATAATTTCTGGGCGTATCGCCTATTGATTGAATCGATTTTTGTTTAAGTAATTTCGAAGTTATGATGCATATTCTCAATCTCCGGCTGAATAGGACATAATTATTTGTTTTGTTGTACTTTATCAGTTGCATTAATCATATTTATAGGTAATACAAGCACGTATTTGGTTTTTGTCGAGTTGTTTAAACTGTAGGAATATGCACCATTGTTATAATTGAAATGTCTTTTCAAATTCATTGAACATTCTTACACTTTTAATAACAATGGCGAATTAAGTTAGGCATATTAAAAAAGGTATAATGTTTGATTCGAGAAATATTTTGAAAGATGATCGGCTCGAAAAATATTTCGTTTTCGAAACTAATAAAGATGTAGGTAAATTCAATACCTACTATTAAAAAAAATGTAATTTTAATTAGCGATTAAACATTCTGATGATTATTTCTAATTATTTGCAGTTGTGGTACGAAACAGCTAAGGATGTTCCAACCGATTGTGAACTAGTTTTAACACCGAAAGAGCCGCTAAGTCTTCAAGATATGTTTGGTGATTCCACGTCAGCTGACGAACGATCTGACAGGGAAACTGGTAGGTGTATAATTATAAATTTTCTCACTAATAATTGTCCCGAAATCTTATCACATTACCCAAAAAAATTACATCGCAATTCACTTTCGTTCCTTTTCATTTAGTTTCCACCGAATAAATAAAAACCAATTCTCTCTAACACGCACCATATTTGAATTTCCGAATGTTTAGGTTTGCGCTACTGATAGTTTGATTACTGCTTATTTAAATATTATCCACAATATGTTAATGTATTAAGTTACCTTCGTAACCGGGTTGATACGACTTCCCTAATAAATATTTTTATCGCTACCCGCCATCGTAAGGGTCAAATTTTATCGATGATTTTCATCTGAATCCGTTTTAATTACCCCAACCAACGAGATTCTTCGAAATATTTTAGTACTTATTTATATAATATAGAAACGCGTTAAATTTACTATAATATTATCTTCAATTAAATAATTGATAACGTATACTGTAATGAACGTACGTAATTTTGTCCTTCCCTTGGCAAAATATTTAAAATCTAAGTTAACAAACTACACTAAAATGATAAGATACCGATAAAAGCTGATATTGTTAATAAAAAAAGTATTTTGTCGCAAAAATCTAGCAATCGTCTAGTAAATAATTACAGCTGGGGCAATGCATGGATGGGTGAAGTACCTACAATTTGAATAAAATCGTTCAAATCACCCCTTGCGAGTTAGCAGTTGAAAAACGGAAACAGGTTGACCTATTAACTTCCGAAAAAAATATTCGTTATAACAGATGTATACGGGGGGTCAACAAAATCACTTCCTCTATATTCTATGTGTATATCATGGATGTGCGGACCCTTACTGGTCACATCCTTTTTTGTGTAATTGAGGGCGAAAAAAAGGGGTGTAAAAGGTAAAACTGACCAATAAAGCACCGTGTTGCGTTAATACTATACTGATTTAAATCGTTCAGTTGGCGTTTGCCTTTTGTCCAAACTAGTTTTTTCCCGATTGTTCAGGTGATTGTTCGATTTTGAAAATTTTGGAAATATTTATTTTAGCTTCACAACACAGCGGAACCATCGACGATAGGGAAGACGATGAAGATATTAGTGAATCACGTTGTTACGTTTGTGATCAAATATTCAATGATGTAGATATGTAAGTACTTTTTTGTGGATCTTATTCTCTTCACATCTGCTCTTTAAATGAGTCAAAAAAATCATTAATAACAATAAATTTTCTACTTCAGTTTAGATGAGCACCTAATATCAAAGCACAACTACAGGCGCGACGAGTACCAATGCAATTACTGTTCTAAAGCGTACTCATACCGCCCCTGTCTCATAAAGCACCGAGCAATAAAGCACGGAGAAACGAAGAAGTACCACTGCGAAAATTGTCCCAAGGTAAACGCCGTTTAATACCTACAAAATAAACACACATACATGCAGTAATGCTTTTAACCCTTCAAATCTAATATAAATAACTTGAGGTGCTCAGTTAGAAAATTCAATGCAAACGCTTCAATTCAACTCACACATTCCTAACGAGAGTTTTAACAGACGAACAGCTCTTATTCTCTAATTTACAATTTATAGGTATTCACCGATCCTAGTAATTTACAGAGGCACATCAGGACCCATCACGTCGGGGCGAGATCTCACGCTTGTCCGGAGTGCGGCAAAACGTTCGCCACGTCCTCCGGATTAAAACAACACACGCACATCCATTCTTCGGTTAAGCCCTTTCAGTGCGAGGTTTGCTTCAAGGTAAATAATATTCTACAATTCCCTAAAACCAGTACAGACCAATAAAAAGGCGGAGATTTACACTCCAGAAATGTGTATGTTTAAAGCTTAGTGAGAGTTGAATCAACTTTGCATCTGCTCGATTTAGTGGGCGAATGATTCAGGTTTCGTTTCTGTTCTAGGCGTACACGCAATTTTCGAACCTTTGTCGACACAAGCGGATGCACGCCGACTGTCGAATGCAGATCAAATGCGTCAAATGCGGTCAGTCCTTCTCCACCGTCACGTCCCTTTCGAAGCACAAGCGTTTCTGCGATTCGACTAGCTCGGCGCCGTTCGCGAACCAGCCCCACATACCCGTCAGCCCGGTGACGATGGCCGGAAACGATTCCTTCAATTTGTACCGATCCGGCTGCTTGCCGTTCTTCCCGCCGCAATTGTCGACGTATCCGTTCTTCCCGGCCGCCTCGGTGATTCCCCCTTTGTTCTTCAACCAGATGTCGAAGGTGGCGGAAGAGAACGTCGAAAGCAAGAGGCGAAAGTTGTCGCCCGATCACGAGAAATTCTCGCATAACTTAGACATATTTTCGTCGAAGAAGAGCGATCTTCTCCTACCTAAATTTACGCCGCCGAAGAACTTGGACTTCGGTAGGTCTTTGGAATACAGCAATCCTAGTCTGAACTTAAAAGCGCCGTCGAAATCGATGCCTAAGGATCTGTCTAATAAACCCGCGAGCGCGGCCAACGAGGAAACCGACAAACCGCTGGATCTGAGCGGATGGAAAAAGAGCGCTTTGCTGGTTAAGCAACAAGAAGAATCCGAAATTTCGGCTCATTCGGAGAGCGAGAGTTTAATAGAAATCGTAGACGATCGCAATCCGTCCCCGAAGAACGCTCCTTCAACGCAACAAATGATCTGTCCCAGACCGGTGCATCCGGTCCTACCGACCGACCTATGCAGGAATCTCGTCTACAACTACCAAAATCCCGACAACGAACGCCTCCTACCATTCCCCTTCCACCACCGGTTCTCCTTCCTCAACGGCTTCCAGCCGCAGCGGATGGACATGATGCGCTCGAACGTGAAGCCCTTCCAGGACGTCATGCACCAATACAGCCAAGGCAAGATAAAGGACCGGTACGCGTGCAAATTCTGCGGCAAGATCTTCCCGCGCTCGGCCAATCTCACCAGACACCTGAGGACCCACACCGGCGAGCAGCCGTACAAATGCATCTACTGCGAGCGCTCCTTCAGCATATCCAGCAACCTGCAGAGGCACGTCAGGAACATCCACAACAAGGAGAAGCCGTTCAAGTGCTCGCTGTGCGAGCGGTGCTTCGGCCAGCAGACCAACCTGGACAGGCACCTGAAGAAGCACGAGGTGGACGAGGCGAACGGCAGCATCGCGCCCGCCGATTCGCCGGCCAGCAGCAACGAGAACGAGCGGGAGGACGCCTGCTTCGACGAAATCAGGTCGTTCATGGGGAAGGTCACCTTCGGATCGGCGGAGTACTACAACATGAACGAGTTCGTGTCGCCGGCGAGCGCGAACGTCGAGCGGCTCAAAAAAGAGGACGAGGATTCGGAGACGAATTCGGAACTGGTCGAGGACTACGTTCCTCCCAAGCTGAACTTTGACGTGAAATGTAAGCAGGATAACGAGGAGTTGGTGAAAAATAATGATCACGTAGTGAAAGTGTCTACTTAGTCATTTACAAAAGTCTATATATAGTGCATATATTTATCTATTTGTTATTTCTTTTTGAATATTGAGTTGTTTATTGATGTTTCGATTCAGTTTGGTAAAACGTTTAAATCGTGTATCTATTGTCTATAATTAGTTCGCTGTAACAACAGCAAGTTTACCAAATTGTTGCGAAAATATATTTAACCGTATTGTAAAAAAATGTGGCTCATAAAGTACAATTTAATCCGGAACATTCTCATAAAAATTTTTGTAAAAAATTGACTTACCTTTTTATAATTATTAGAATTAGAAAATGAATTTACCAACAACATTTTCGAATAGATTTAAGTATTTAACCAGCGTAATGGATTAAGGGACAACCTACAATTTTTTAAACTCATGAAAAACCTATTTTAAATTAGATATTTACCCACCGTATAAAAATACAAGTGCATGACTTAATCCATTATTATTATGAATATTCGTCATACTTTGAGGCTCTGTTAAGTAAAGTCTTAATAGTTTTGGAATATGCTCAAATAAATCGATAATTTTCGAATTTATTACTATCAAACTGCTAAGCAGTTCTGCTTTTTACGATATTACACATTGTAAAGGTTAACGTAGGAAATGTGCAACTGAATATTCTATTATCATAACTCACTCTGTACTATCGTTATAGTTTGATGCACTTACAAGTGTAACACTCAATCAACTCATACTGAAGAATACCTGAAGTACATTGCTTCAAATTTTCTTTATAACAATGAAACCTATTAATACGATATTTCAGGAAATTAACTACTGAGATCTGCTCGAAAATATTTTAGGTAGGTATAGAAAATTTATGCAAGAGTAATCCCTATACATTTGATCTTTTAAATTAATTGATTAACCCATAGTGTAATAATAGGTTTTTTGTTTTAAAAAAATTTTCTGTTCAGCAAATTTATAACAAAAATTTCTGTGAAATGTTATTTTTTCGGATAAATTCGTTCTAAAAATTCCTTTGCAATTGCAAAGAATTTACTTGCGGCTTAAACTAAATTTACTTATATTTATGACCATAAGGAACTTAAGATTCACTTTTAACATATTTATCAACTTATCTAATTAACTGTTTTACAAATTCTCACCAAAAATTTTAAATACGTACTCGCTATTATCTAATTACTAGTAAATATTTGTATTACACTATCATGCAGTGTGCACGATAAGTTACTGCGCAAAATTAATTCTTAATGAAATTAAAAGTACCGTTGAATCAACCAATTTCTTATGTTAACCAAATTCGAAGAATATTATTCTGACGAAAGTATCTATTATAATTGGATGAGCTAAGTCAGTAGTTCAAGCTCAAAATAGTTTCTTTTTGCTGAAAAAATCGTGATACAATTTCTTTGTTTGATCGAACAATGAGAAATCGATATTGAATCGATTCGATGAATTCGTAATTCCTCTAAAACAAACAAATTTCAACCGCTGAAAATGAATTGCGCTATTGAATCTTAAGCAATTGGATTACTGACTGGCTTTACAAACGTTTAAAAATCCTACCGCAAAATGTTCTTAATTCGAATTGAACAATGCAAATCCGAGCACTCGACGATTTTATACAAAAAACTAACGACAAATCGTATTTTTTCGTTTCTAGCCTACAATAATTGATTCGTACTGTAGAATATCAATAATAATCACAATTATTAGAATGTTTCTCCAACCTTGTAAATAAATCGAATGTTAACACGACGATTTTTTTGATTTCGAATAACTGGGAAGCGCTTGGCGATTTCGTTACGGTTACATGGATCACTAAATATTTTTTTAGAAAATGTCCTCTTTAGGCAATACCCATTCGCGTTATTTCCCAATCCTTTTCTGCACTCAAGTCGAACCTAAAACAAACAAACCAATTTATAAAACACATAATTAGAAGCAAATTTTTTATAAGCTATTCGGGTATAACTCTCCGTAGATAACTGTTTTTATCGGCTATTCGATGATAGCATCTCGAAAACTTCAACTTATGAGTTCGAAAAGAAAGAATAGAATTTGTGCTACATATTTCTACCTTTTGTTATTTTCACAAAACGACTGTCGGTCGCTGCACTAAATTAGAGAATTAAAGTATCGGAAGCCGTAAAAATTTCAATCACCAAATACAATAGAACTGTGACGCTATGCCTTCGTTTCAGGTCAATTTCAATTTTTTTCTCTCTTGTAAAATTTAGCTTCAGTTAGTAAACGTCACGAGCGATAAATTAATCATGACGAAGATTTGATAGAAAGTCGTTTGGTAAAACGTGTAGATTGGGTAAAAAACGTTTAATGGTACAATTTACAGTCTCGATCGTTTCGAAAATAACAGTTTGTTAACTCTATTGTTGTTACAAAAAGCATTTAAGGTGAAATTACACATGCCTATATTAATAGATAATGCCCAGTGGGTTTTATACTGTCAATTTTTGGATAACAATTTAAAACTAATCCCATTATAATTTTAGTGTTTAAACATGCAAAAACAATACTTACCGACTGATTTAGTTTAGTTTCCCTTCACAGAGAAATCGTCTCGCTTCTTCATTTAATTTTATTTTTATTTTCTAATCGTACTCTCTCTTCGTTTCATCTAAGCATCCTTTTTTTTTGTTCGTTGCGGCAACTACTAATTTCTGCAAGTTTCAGTTTCCGATCTCGATGATAAATGCGAGCGTAAAAAAGAAAATTTCGATTTTAATTAATCTGAAATGATTAGGCATTATTATGTAAGATCGTTTAGCGTACCTGCATAAAAAATGTCCTAACGTTCTTGTTTTAAGCATGGAGAAAGAGCTGAAAATGATAACAATAATAAAAAATATTTTTAATTAAACTTTATTTTCTTTAATGAGGAACAATAAATAAAAACCGAATTGAACAGGTTTCTGAGACTACATAAAAAACATTAAACAATTTTCTTTTCAAGGCATTCTCTCTAGGATATTTTCAAAAGGAACACATACAAAAAGCGTAATTGGATAAAACATACGTTTGTATTTGCTTAGTTTACAAAAGAAAAGTGGGAAAAAATTAACGTCTACTGATAATCTCAGTCAATTGCTGTTCGAAGTTAATTTTTTACAATCATCAAATCGGATATCGATTAGTGGCATGCTTAAAAGTAAGTTAGATTTGTGCGAACATATGAGTATTATGTGCAGACTTACAATAAGTTGCTTTTTTTGTCAAAAAAAACTAGAATAATTGTTGTAAGGAGGAACTAGTACATAAGTGCGTTCTACAATAGGTACATTTCAAAGTTTGGCGTCCAAATTACAAGAGACTTTTTGTTCCAATCATACTCCATCAACGATTTTTTTGTTTTGTAAAAAATCAATTAAATCACGTTCGTAAAATCCACAGAATAAGGATAAAACCGATTGATCAATAACGAGGCAACGCGATTTAGAAAAAGATCGACAGCCTTGAATGAAGACGGCACCAAAAGAAGATGATGGGTGTGTCATTCGCGAGATTGTAAATTAATATACGCTCGAGAACTGAAATGAACTTAGCCAATTATAAAATTAGAAAACCTTCCTCGTTTTGCATTTAATGGTTTCTATTGTGAGATAATTACGGCGCTCGTGGCCAATGTAAACAACAAAAAAATGCGCTAATGAAACGGTTCGGTAAAATTAAAATGGTAACTTAAAGAGCAACAAAAATACTGTTGAAAATTGTGGAACGCCAACTGCGAAATAAGGAAAAATCTTTCAATGAACACTTGCTGATTCGACAAAATATTTGAACAAATTATTTAACGAGTTTTGAGAGATTTATTCCGGATTGTTAAAATTAAGTGAATGTATGCTTCTGCAGTGAGCTTCAAAGTTTATTATTGCACATACATCTTATTTCTACAACGAAATAATCATGGTAATAACGAGTAGCGTGTATTCGTGCTGTTTCGAACAAAACTTTTCTGACGAGTTTCGAAGTGCGAGGCGTAGACGAGTCGAAAAATTACATAAGTCAGAGGAAGAAAACCTATCAGCCGCACTTTTCTTCACGTTTATCAAATTTCAGTGCCATCAAAAATAACTAAATAACCTAAAATTAAAATTAAATTATTAATTAATACCTTCCAACATACATTATTATTATAGCATAATAATAAGGAGGAAGAGCTTTCAATTGTGCCAGAGCTTCAGCATAATACTAGTAGAATTTCCATATTATTAACTATATCATTAAAAATTGGTCGATAAGAGAAAAATTTTTGAATAGTAGACATTCAAAAAAGACTCACCTCTCAATTTCTTATCACTAATTTATCACAATAGGTTCCGTTCAAATTTCAGGTTTTGCTCTCAGTACTTTCTTTGCTTATCAAATATTTATCCTTGTTGTCTTCCTTATTCTTGCAACCGAAATCATCTTCGGAATGGGTCGACGAAGAGGAAGAAAAATTATCCTTCTCCGCGGTGAACGTACTAGCTTTGTCCTGAATTTGCTCCTTGAACGAGCCGGCGTCGTCCAAAAATTTCGGCGGTAACTTCAGCGGGAAATTCGTTATCTGCTTCAGCGACTGCATCGGCTGCGCCAAGCGCCTGTCGGTAACTTTGCCCATGAACGACCTGATCTCCTCGAAGTACGACTCCTCGTTGACGTTCTTCGACATCAGGCTCTTCTTCTGCATCATGTGCTCGTCCAGTATCGTCGGCCCGTCCGCCTCGTGCTTCTTCAGATGCCTGTCCAGGTTGGTCTGCTGGCCGAAGCACCGCTCGCACAGCGAGCACTTGAACGGCTTCTCCTTGTTGTGGATGTTCCTGACGTGCCTCTGCAGGTTACTGGAGATGCTGAACGACCTCTCGCAGTACCGGCACTTGTAGGGCTGCTCGCCGGTGTGCGTCCTCAGATGCCTGGTCAGATTCGCGGATCTGGGAAACACTTTGCCGCAGAACTTGCAGGCGTATCGGTCTTTGAGTTTAGGTACGTTAGAGTCGAATATTTTGCCGGGTTGCAGCGCCGTCTGGTTCCTCATCAGGTCCAAGGAGACTAAATTTATAGGCGGGCTCAGCACGGCCGGGTTGATGAAAGGGTACCTCTGTTTGAAATTCGAGGGAGAGGACGGGGGGATTAGGGGCCTAGGAAGGTTGTCGGCGCTTTGCGATCGATACATGACCTCCAGCATCATCGAGTGCACGGGCTGCGTGGGAAAGACTAAAGGGTAGGGCGTCATTTGTTGCTGGACGTTCTTCGAAGCGCTGGAAGCGTTGATGGTGATATGTCTGCTTTCTCTGAATTGCTCCTCTTTGTCGCTGTTAATACTGCACGTGGGCGATAGGAGGTTTCTGTTCTCGTCCTCCATGCGCCTTTCGCTGAAGACGATCTTCTTGTGCTCCACTCTCAGGTCCAGCGGCTGGTTGTCCGTCTCCTGGTTCTGGGACGGGTGGCATGCCGGCGACATGTGCGGGTCCGGGGACTTGGAGTTTCTCGATAGATCGAAGGGTACGTCGTCGGCTTGCGGTACTCTTATCGAAAGAGGATAAGTCGCGGCTTGCTTTGGAGAACTATGGCCACCTGATGCTATTAACATTTTCCTTGGAAAAGAGTCTTTCTCGCGCATTTTCGGAGGTAGTACAGATGGAGATAATGACTTATCGACCTTGGCTAAATCGACATTCGCTATACACATGAGTAGACTGAAATACCTGGAACAAAAAGAAGACAATTCGTAGGAAATTTATATGTATCTTAAAAAAAGTGTTAGGTATATTATTCGATTCATAACGAATGATAATTTTTATCAAGTTGGTAAGTATTACTTCATGAATTGAGTAGTAGATAACCAATACGCATTTTCTCTGATGGAATGTGAGACCGTAACAAATTATTAACATAAAAATTACCATACCAAATGGAAGTAAAAGAATCAGACGAATGCAATTTAAATGTCTGCTATGGATGAATTCAGTTTGTTTATTTTTGATATCACTTAATTAAAATAGTTGTATCATTTTCCGCGCGCGCTTTATGTAAGCGACGTCGATAAAAATACTTCCGCGGTCCATCGAAATCCAATTCAATTTTCATATTTTCAACGTAACGACCAAATAAGAGATACTAATCGATGTTCAAATAAGAAAGTGATCAAGAAAAGCGATTTACATTTTAATAGCAAATTGGCAATTTATAGGTATTTTGTTAGCAGTAGAGTGTAGCGACGATAATTAACGAACGATAGAATTTCTCTTCCTCCAAGTAAACGTAAAACAACGTTAACTGAAGAACGATAAAAAACAATTTCTTGTGACAAAATGATTTTACTTGCTCTGATTCATTTACCTATCAGTATTGAAGAATTCGGAGGGCCAGCGGCAAAGAAAGTCCTGCTAGTCTAATAATTGCCTGATATACATTGCACGAGCACCGCAATAATGTCATTTTATAGAGCTCCAGTCCACGTGCTAAACACCGTAGGTAGTTACTTAAATACCTTTCACTATAAGATATGGACAACGCTGCTTCATTAAAAACGCTTTTCGTTCGTAAAAATATTATTATATAAATCATTAGAATTCTGTTATGTTTCTTCATAATTTTTTATTTGTTCTTTTACCTACTTGTTTTATTCTGCATCAGTTTTACGTTTATGAATTGAATGATAGGTTCATAAAACTGTCCTCCCAAATCCATAAAATTCAAAATTACCCATTTGGGTATAAATTATATTTACACTCACCTCAATAAAATTAATTATTGGTGTATTTATTTTTATTTTTTCTCTAATTATCTGGATTTATTTTATTCTGTTTGAGTGGATACGCTTTTTCGTCCTTTCTATCATTCTATGATTCCAATTCACGATTGTTTGCCCTTTTTAGTCATTGATATCACGCAATAAGCTTTCCTGCTATTTACATATGTGAAAGCGTCCCAGCTGCGAGCTCTTTTTGTGCTTGCAATCATCATTTTTTCGCATTTAATTTCTTGCAGCCACGTTTTCCTTATGGACGTTTGCTCTTATTTCACCGGGTAAAGTTGCAACCCTGCAAGTAAATTTTAGACATTTTTGTTTGCCCATGATGTTAACAAGACGTAGAGAATCCATTCATAAGCAGAGCGTTTGTTACATTTCCATTTTGTTTTTGAATAGATATTTTTGTGGTTGAACAGGATGTGTTTGTTTCGAATAATTTTGAGCGTATGAAGAATTATTCCAAGTTGTTCAACAACAATTAATGTACCACACCTGTAATCTATATAATATCAATCCATCACTTCTAATCAGTTAAACGTTGTTATGAAATCAATTAAAGAGTAATACACCTAGTTAATAAAATAATAATATAAAATTCCGTTTATTTTCAATATACCTGACTATTATTATAAAATAGTTTAGCAATTATATTGGAAAAAGGCAAACAGTGGTAACGAATATTTAGCCGATAGGTACGAATTTCATAATAATTTTTTCTGTAGTTCACTGTTAAATAACAGATCAGAATCATTTATTTATCGGCATTACGAAAAATGATTATAAATATGATTTAATTGCGCTATAAATTAATTATATCTATTATTAATTAAACTAATGAAGTGATACACCTAAGCTTCTTTTTCTTCTTTGGCATAAAACTAAATTGAATAACAGGTTTTTACAACACTAATAGAACATTGTGTTGGTTATTAAGTCACAAGTCATACACTAATGGAAAAAATATAGTGAAATTATTTGTAATTCATAAAAGAAGATCCACGAAACATCTCAACTCCTGCAGGATGGTTTCCTACTATCTTCCTAACCTTCATTGTTTCACAAACGTTGTTTACCAATAAAATGGGTGGCTTTCGATTAATCAAAACGTAAAAAGCGCTTCAAATTTCGAAATTCTTTCCTCTGATTGCTGTCATACTACTGGGCACTCAAAAACAGTAGTTTGAAAGTGTGGCGTAATTTATACTTGAGGCAATACAACCGATTCGACCTTCCACAGTCTGTGAACGCGGTACCAAAATATCTTAGGCGTTACCAGATTTCAGTTTCATCACTTAAACGCAAAATCCGATCATAATGGGATTGTATATCACAATTACGTCGCAGATGTATGGTATTTACTTCGTTGGAAAATTATGTGTCGTACCTATATGCATAAGAAACTCTGGTACTTGTGAAAACTACATGATTCATGTTTAATATATTTTTCAATGGGTACTGAAATTTATATTAAACTTATCGAATCGTCATGGAAATTTAAATAAAGTGAAAAAGAAGGCGGAACTGTAACAAAAAAATGAAAAGCTTAAATTCGCTACAAAAGAAAGCAAGATGTTAGTAATTGAGAATTTGCTGCATGATTTTTAATTATAATTTAAACAGCGTGAAATTAAAGTAACGAAATTTGGATCAAATAGATTATTAGATTCACGAAAATCACCTAGAACTGGAATAGTTAATTAAAAAAAACCTTCAAAATATTTTTTATTAAACCACTACGTATAGTGGTTTTATGTTTAAATGTAACATCACCACGACCATTATTTAGTTAGCTTTCATGTTTCCAAAACGAAAAGCTTTCAATGCCTAAGGAAATATTTAGATAGGTATTTGCAATACCTTCAATATATTCTCCCTACATTACAACCAACGAATGTGTTGTTACATTATCCGTTTTCTAAATCGCGAGAATTTGCTGGCACGCTTCTTGAGCTTCACTTCGATTTTCAGCTTCTACCATGTTGAAAAAAAAATATTATCTTCTCCTTATTTAAATGATGAATCAATATTGCAATATTTAAATTGCACAAAAATAATTCCGGTTAATTCGTAGTTAATATTCTGTTATAATTATGATAGGTTTTCACGTTAAGGATGGACTCAAATGTGACGTTGCATTAATGGGCTTTCCCAGGTCCGTCAGATTGTCCGATAATTTTTTCTATCCATAAAATATGCTACTGTAACCAACATCAATCATGTTATTATAATTACGGTTATTTTAGTCCCCGATTTGTCATCAATAATTTCCTGGATTCACCTTTGTTGCATGTTTTAAGAGTACTCTTTCTACTAATAAATTAAGTGGATAATTTTTACTGATTAAATGCGGTTTTTGGCCCTGATCCCTATCGACAACCGAATTTCATAAGTTTCTCTCCATCTCAAAACATTTTCACTTATTTAAGAAAAAAAACCACACAATCGAAAATTCACAGTATTATTATTGCAGACGACAAATTAGATTATTTCGAGAGATAATTGCTCTTCTGTCGTCGTTGGCGCAACATTCTCGAATGGAAACACAGATTTTCTGTTTGTAGTGTAAATGATTAGCATATTACTACATTTTCTTACAGCAAATTGATTTTTTTAGAGGAAAGTTCGTAGTTATGCGTTAAAAATAGATCAATTTTCATTGATTGTTTCATCAAATTTATCATACAAATGAACTTGTTTCATGATTATGACATTGTTCATAATAATGAATTTTCTTTTTCAATTATCAAGTCAAATACATTTCTTAAATTAAACATTTGTGGTACCATTGGAGGAATCTGTCTCTTTAATTCGCACTATCAGATTGATAATTTTAACGCTCCAATTATTTCCTTTTGTCTCTAATTCGTAAATAGTTCTTAAGTTTCAGATTTGCTTAACTGAGCGAAAAATAGAGATTGTAGGCATTTCAAATTATTTTTTTATTCGGAATTCTTTTCTAATTTCTACCGACTTTGCTGTCAACTGATTTATTTAAGCTTTATTAATTTCTTCTGCTACTCTTACTAATTAATGAAAAATAGTAAGCTCAAATCTAAGAAAAATCATTGCCATATACAGTTTAATTTATGGATATTACAACGTGTTAATATTTTTTTAGTATAAATAATAAACCTCACGTACACCTACCTAATTTTTACGTATAATAAATAATCGGCATATTTGGTTTCCAAAGAATAACTAGTAGTGGGTTGGTACACAAAGAACACTAATTTTCTCCAATCGAGTTCCTTAAACTAGATCACTTTGAAAAATTCTGGTAACTTTTCGGCACAACACTGGTCGACATGTCGCTTCGACGGAAATCAGTTCAGGCGAATAGAAAAAAAATAAAAAAAATTTTCACGTAAACGCAATCGGCTCGTCCGAAAGGGCGCCCATCGTACAGCCCATCGTACTCAAAGGCTCGGCACGCGTGAGTGGAAGTACCAAAACAACTGACATGCACTTTCTTCTATATCTAAGACGGTACTGGACCATTGCCTTCGTAATCTCAGACTACACAAGACGCTGCTCTAGTTTAACTTCTTGAGATCGAAAGTGTTTCGTCGGATGGGCAGGCTTGATATGGTTTCGGTTTTGTGAGTTACCTTTGCAAAGGTGACGGTTATAATTGAGTGGTCGTCGCTCAGTTCCTGTTTTAATTGTAAATTGTACAAAGTGAGTCGCAAATTTTGAGGAAACCGTCTTAATAAACTCCGCTTTAATGTTTTCTCTTCTCCCTATCGACTTCATCGCTTCGTACAGAAGAAACGCATTTTTTTTACTTCAATTCGTTCATAACTACATTTTATGATCCAAAAAAATATAGTTAGTCTCTAAAATGATTTAATAAGTAGGTACAAACTAAACAGGTGCTAAAAATTATTATCACGTGCTCGTTCCGCAGGGTTGCAACTGTTGAATCCGTTCTTAACGGTGCGTTAAATTATGTGGAATTAATTTTACGAACAAGTGTAAAAGTTGGGACAATTTTTAAAATTGTTTTAAGTGAATTTAACGATTATTACGACACTCTTTCGACTATTTTTACACTATCGATATATAAAATATGAGCAGAGCTTTGAAGCTCAAACTCTTTTTGAGCAAACTTTTCAGCAAGTCCTTTAGGGATATATATTTGTATATAACTTTGAACTGGTCAATTTATTAGAGTTCATTGTGATAAAAGAAATTAATGTAACATATGCTTTGTTATAACTAACCAACTAATGAGTAGGTATACATAATAAGCTAATTTACTAACAACACAATATCTATTATAAAGATGCTACAAATACCTGTACATTTTCTCTGTCATAAAACTAATGGATTAATTGGAGTAATTACTGCAATGAAAAGACGCAAAAAGTTTCCTAGCTATTAAATATGCGTCAAGTATCTATTTATGCAAATAAAACGAGTCATCTTTTATTAGAAGATCAGCGGAATTAATTGCGCTAAAAAATGCATGTATCTTCATTTTACGAAGGCATTTATTTAAAAACTCGCATGGCGTAAAGTGAAATTAATTTGTTTAGTCACCTTCGCGAATAAATGTAACAAACTTACCTTAATTACGCGCGTAAAGAGAAAAGGTTTCATCTTTTATTACTTACGACTTACGAAACGTTTATTGCTAACAAGTTTTTTTCTGTTGATTTTTTGCTGGCTTTCTTTTTTAACATGCCTAACGAGATCTTCAAAAATTTATTAATTTTAAGTGCATCAAAATTTATCTGTATTATAATTGATGTTTGATATATTAAGGCACGGTGTAAAGCCAGATTTTTAAATGTGCCATGGTCAAAAAAAGCTTACTGACACACAAATCTATATTCACACTTTTATTATTTCATTACAATTTAATTTTTACCCTATAGGTAAATGTTTTATATCATACCTACGTAGTAACAGAAACGAGAGCGTGGTTTAACATTTCATATTATTCATTCTGCACAATAATTGAAATGATTAAAATAATATTCAATATTACTGCTCCCATTAGATATTAGTGGATTTACTGGTTACAGTTTCCTTTACATGCGTGTTGTTACCTTTGCAAAGGTGACGCTTGTAATTGAGCGATCGTCAGTTATTTCCTGGTCAATTCTATGAGTTACACAGTGAATCATTAAATATGCAACGCGTAAAGACAGATTATGGTTATTTAATAAGATTGATGATCAATTAAAATTGAAGTTTATGCGGTTTAATTGGCCTATAAATCTCCTATATGCAATTCACAGCCCCGGGTCCCCGACCAAACAAAAGTTTTAAAACTTTTTTAAATTCATTTCTGCCATAATATATTGTAACAATTTCACGTCGTAAATCGCTGATAATAGTTCAATTAATAGAAATTTCTGTATGTGTAGTACTAATTAATAAAATCAATGGTTTTATTGGCTAGCTGTTTTAATCTTGTCATACAAGACTTTTGACTGGGCTATTAGATATATTTGAAAATTCTTGTTTGGATCGTTAATATTAATGCCAGGGGCATCAGAGTTGATTTAGTGGATAATGTAACTCTCTCATTTCTTTCTAATTTCGAACAATTCACTTTCCGTATGACCAGTAATGAGCAATAAGATTGGATTCGTCGAAAATGATCTGGATGTGTATAATATATTATCTAAATAAGAAACCTATAATTTTCGCGCAATAACAAAAGTATAAATTTAATATAACAAGCTTAATAAGTGGTAATATGATTTTAATTTCAAATGAGAACCAATTGTAAATGTCTTAAAAATATAATCCTTTATCTAGAAAGTAGGTACATAATTTCTACATAAAAATTTATAGCGACATTCCACAACGCGCAAAAAAAACGCCTTACATAATATTAATAAAAGTCACATAGGTATTGACTTTTTTTGTTAAAATAGAGAATATTATATCTATGTGAGCCAATTAAATAATAATTAGTTCAGCGAGTTGCTATTTGCTCAATAAAATTACAATTTTTTTATCCACGTAGGCATGGAAAATGTAACTTTTTATTTTATATATATATTTGACATTTGTTAATGCATATATTATATGAATAAATTTTTATAATATAATTATTGAAATTAATTAGATTCTTAATTATATTACAGGGTGTACTGAAATAACATTCGATTAATGTCTATTAGAAATTAGGAAACCTTATAAAAGGTAAATTCTGCAAATCAGAGGCTTCAATAAGACCAACTTTAAATTTTAATAGAAATTGAAGTTTCAATTTCAATTTTCAAGTGTCTTGATTGCTTAATTTATCCTGTAGTAATTACCGAAATATTATTTTAAATCGAAACTTGAGCCCTCCTGTAGAAAAGTAATCTTAATTACAAACAAAATGTCAATGGTGCATGGAAAAAATAGTTTTAATGTATGGGTAATCGATTTTTTTGCGAGATATACCAAGAATTTCATCGCATGTACTGTGATGGCGATGGAATTGAGTTAATTAATGCAGGCAGCTCAGCTAAATTAACTATTTACTTCACTGTTAATTACCAAAGTAATTGAAAATGTGAAGTTATGACTTTATATTTCGTCGCAGGTATAATGATTAGCGCTTATTTAAAAATTTATTGAACTGGTTATTTCACAATTATCGTTCAATTAAACAATGAAAACTTCAAATCCACCTAACCTGCGGTAGGGTATTATAGATTCTCTATCAGACGCATTTTAATCTACAATTCTATAATTTGAGGTAATGAATTATCCTCGGTCTCGGTATATTGATTGACTGACTTTCAATTGATAACATTTAAAATATAATATTACAACACCGCAACGATATAACGGGGATACGCAGAGCAATCTACATGAAGGCTATTGTATAAAATAGTAGCACTTCACAATAGTAGCTCGGTGAGTGAGCAAAAAATATTAGTTGCTTGCGTAGGCCGGACCCCACCCATTAGAAAGTAATTCCGTTAAGTCCAATGGAGTGATTACCCGATATGGAGCATTTTGCGACAAATAAATTCATAGACGTTCGTTTTAGATAGGCGCAAGGCGATTTCGAACTGAAACCCAGATGATGTGAAACCGATCTTATAATTGCTCGCTCTTTTTTCCTCTATCTGCACACTTATATATAAATTACATAAAATTATAATGAATAAATGCATATAGTTATAGTTTTAAAATTGAAAAACAGATTTCATATAACGTTTCCTTGAAAACTCGTTTTCAAGGATTTTTTTTTATTTTATTTCACTTGAAACTAGAGACGGAAGATTTCTCACGCTGACGACGACGTCCATACTGACGTTTCAACGACAATCTTTTTATAGTCATAATGTCGCTCTAATAAAACTAATACCGTTGGGAATCAAACAGAATAGGAAAGCCCGCAAAACATTGTTCACGTTAAATTCGATCCGCAATCAGAACAATCATTACTGAATTAATGTTACATTGAACTCCAACTCAACTAGAATCGCCAAAAAAAACCAAACTTTAAGAACGAGAATTAGCTGATTTAAAATTTTTATTGCACTTTTAGAGCCAATTAATACAAATTAGGTAGCTTACTTTCTAAATTTCGCTTCAATTCCTGTGTACTGCACATAAGTACGTCTTTTATTATTCTAACATCCTTAACAAGAGCAGAGTTCGTTTAAAAGTGTTGTAATTGCGTAAAAATTGTTACAATCTCCGAAACAAGTTTTTTTGTCATGAAGATTTATCAAAAGATTATCAAATAAAATTATAAGCACTAGGAAGCTACATATTTTTAAATCTATAATGCTAAAGCTTTTATTATTTCTTTTGAGAAAAATTCTATATTCTCGATTATTTGTTAGTGCTCGTGTGCAATATAAGAGAGGCCGTCTCTGGTGCACTGTTATTATTAATATCCTTCAACCAACGGAGAATATGTGCACACGAGTCGATCTAAAGAACCACCAACACCTATTTCTTAGAGTTGTTATGGTATAAGTAATTTGAATTTCTTCTAATAAGATTTCTTGTCTATTTTTATGATTCGTTGAATAAATTATTTTATACCGGAAGGTGCCGATAACACATCGAAACGAGATGATGAAGGAGCGCAAATTCGCAACTAGATTCTCGACGAAAGAAAGAGAAATTTTCTCGACAGCCCGGACAATGTTATAGGAAAAACGCTAAGCAATGAAGAAGTTTTTAAGTTTTTAATGGGATTTACGAAAAAAGTCTCATCGAATTTCTCTTCGAAGTTGCAGCTGATCCGAGCCTGCGTTTATCAGCACGCCGACCAGAATCTGGATCCCGCGCGAAAAATCCGTGTACAGTTGCACGGCGTATTCGTTGCACCCTGTAACGTAGTATTTCAATGAAAAAACCTTGAGATTTATATTTCACAATGGAGACCATACGAAGTTTGCCGCTGCATGACCATCGTAAAGAAATAAAAGTAGACTGATGACCGATTCGAAGCAGGGCGTGGTTACTTTTACTATCTGCATTACAGTGTGCTGTAACCACTCGACCATCGAAGCACCGCGCACCGTCCAAGTGATACATATAAAATTGCCAAATAGAAGTACACAACCAGGGCCGGATGTAGTAAGAGGGTGCGCCTCTCGAGGGCGGCAAATTGCCAGCCTCAGAATACATTCTTAGATGCGATCGCTCTAGTACTCTGATTATTATAATAACGAGACCTCGGATATTTTTGTGCGGATACTGTAAAATGTACCGTTAGTACGTGAGATGCCTCTGAAATTATACAGTTTAGCGCGTTGTTGTTCGAAATAGAATTGTAGCCGCTATTAGCTGTTATTAGTTTTTTTTCCTGTAGTATTGTTAACTGAATATTAAATTAAAAATCACTAGTTTCAATAATTGATAAATTGTTATCCTTTTCTTCATTCGCTCATTTTGAAAACCAGGTTAATCATAGTTTATAATTTTATTTGATTTCTTAATCAAGGATCCAGGAGTCTTATTTGATTAGAATTACATAGAAACCTGTAATCAGAAAGACTGGTAGAGACTGGTTGAGACTCATAGAGACTAGTAAAGACCTGAAATCTCTTTGTGAAGATTGATTCTCCTTCCTCCAGCATGTCTAGGAGGAATCTCATTACCCATAATTCCTACATTTCTTCAAATTTCTTAACCCAGAACTACTTATTATTCTGCTACTTCTTTTCTTTAAATTTCGATCACTAGAAAGATCTTTTTGAAACGTTAGAATCAATCATTGATATAGTAGGAGAAAACAACATTGAAGTAATCGCTAATTAACTAAAAACAACGCAATTACTGCATTTTTCATATCAAACCAAGCAGTTACATCTAGGATTTTATATGGAATTAATTGCGAATATGCACTTAGATAATTGCCTTAAACTGGTCCTCTCTAAGTTTCCACTCGGATAATTGGCTTTAAGTTGGTACATTGTGCGTTAGAATGGTAATAGGTACATTCTACAGGTAAAAATTAATAAAATAATTGCTACTGCAAACACAGCATAATGGCTTGAAGCTCGAAGTAAAGAAGTGAAGTTGCAAGATTACACCAGGTTCAATTATTTAGAATCGTGTAATGAAATTATATCTATTTAACTCATAAATGCCACTACTATATGTATAAAATGTATATAAAATATAAAATAATTTGTACCTTCGTATTAATTCTTATAATAAATAGTTTCTGAAATATACATGATTTGAATGCATTTCTATACGTTTCCCTTCGAGCTATTTAAATAACAAATTACAATAAATTAATGCCGGACCAGATAAAAAAGAATTTACTCGAGTACACGCCGTTACTCATCGGGGGCTAGCTAACCAGATGAAAGATTAAAATATATCGATATTGGTTGTATCGGTTTCAAAATACTAGATGTTTCTGAACGAGCAATAAAAATCTTGTGCGGAATATTGATGTAATTCGGATGGCTTCGCAACGACGGGCGCACCCAAGCGGGGGGAAGCAGTTAGGCACGTGCCCCCCTTCCAGGGCCCACACCTAAACAACCTACCAATCTTTTGCTACAGATAGGAAAATAATATTTTCGCGTGAGTTCGATATTGACTAACAGTAGTTTGCACATTCTTCTTTTATGTAAAGAGAAACGATTATACTCGACGTTTAATAGCCACGTTTAAATTTTGATGGAAGACAATTATTTAATTTTGGATAAAATTTAATAGAATCGCCCGTTTTTAGTTTGAGACAGATTTGTATTTGATTACGTATCGTTAGATGTAAAATGTATCGGCTTGTTATATTTGAAAATGTAGCGATTAAATATAATATGCCATTCGAATCGAGTTTAGTGACTTATACTGACAGACAAGAAAGCTAGGCGGACGCGATACGAGATCGAATTGCATTGCATCGACTACGCACATAATTCTAAATTATTCCAGCGATCTTATTAAAACGACAAAAATATAGCTCGCCGTACTATTTATTATTTCCCGTACTATAAGTCGTCAGCATTAAGAAACCTTGCAATAATAGAAGAACGTTCTGCAACATACAATCTCGATTGTTGTGTAATGCGGTGAAAGGAAGGGCATCATCTTCGACGGGGCACCGCCTTAGCCCGGAGCTACGGCCCCCGCAGAGCTAGCTACCAGACATTCAGTGGCTCTAATGCTCGTTTTCCTAGGGTTTTACTAAGCAAACACGACGTTACGCATTCATTAAATTTTCTACAAATTATTTTATATTATGTATCTACTATTTTTTATTAGTATCTACTGATTGATATGGAAAAATTGAAGAAAAACCCTTGGACATTGAAGAGATTTATCTACAAGAAAGCGATAATGTAAATACTTTGTAGTTGATATTAAAATTGCCAATTTCTGTGTTTCGATTTCAATTTTATTTATAACTAGTTTTTCCCTAGCTTGGAGCATGAAGTGGAAGGAACGAAACTCTTATATGGGCTGCTCGACCTCCCGATTTGACCTCTCTCGACTATTTTTTTCTTACTATCATAAGTATCTATATGTTAATCGGCCATGTAATATTCAAGATTCAAAAAATTTAAAAAATTAATAGGATAACCGGAAGATGTTTCTTGGGTTTCAAATAAAGAAAATCTTAACGACATTTTTATTAAAATGGTCATTTTTAAGAACTTTTCCGCAAGGGTATTTTATATGACAAATCCTTCCATTCGGTTAACCACTGTACAGTGTATAGTTGTTGTTTGTGGGTTTTTTAGCCTGTATAATGTAAATGCAAACATTTTATATCTATAAGTTAAAAAAATATCAAAATTGAAAAAACTCGATACCTTGGAGTTAGACAACCCATAATACATGTAAAATAAAATGGGGTTGTAATTTATCTACAGTTGGTAGGACTGAAAGGAGTGACAGGTTACCAAATAACGAGGAAGAAGACGTGATGCGCGGACAGGGAAAGAAGAAAATTGGCTCCCTTGTTTTGTTTAGCAGGATTTGTGTTTTTGAATAATAAAAATTTCGCAAAATGATTTTACTAAAATCAACTTAATTAAGGAGAAGTGATGTGTCGTGACTTTAAAATTTTAATTATCTTTTCGTATATTTTGTGTTTTAAAGTATTTTATATAAACTCTAAGCGAGCGCAATTATGGATTTTGAGTCCGGACAAAACGAAAATCATCAAAGGCACGGATCCGCATCCCCTGTTTTACACTAAGGACTTCTCCGGCAAACATTCCATATCTCAAGATCCATTAAACGATTTCGAACATTACTCCAATTCTTGGAACAAGGAGCAAGACTGCGCTGATTGTGGAGGAAAAACCGAGTAAGTTCCCTCATATTTACCCAAGAATCTTTACAATAATTCGAAAATTACTCAAATATTAACTTAATGAGTACGAATTACTTGCATTTCCGAAACATTGAATAGTGTTAAAGATAATAATATTCACATTTGTTTGTTTGGGGAAGTGGTTGATAAAGTGCTTCCGTTCTTTTATTTTTATACATATTTACTCTATTTTTATCATTGTTGTATTTCAGGGACGCCAATCACTCTTATCTTGTACTTTTCTTCACCGACATTTATCCAAATTTCCGCCCATAAATAAACATTTATATTGTATTTAATCCTCAGTACATTGATATATCATTTGTATTTCAGAAACGATACGGATTTGAAGTTATCCCCCGATCAATACTCAGAAACATTGGATTGCGGAAAGCCCGTAAATTTCACTTACTTCGATAATTTAGTAGGTGTTATAAACCGCAATAGGCACCCAATCGTTCCCGAACCCCAAGCTGTCCTCTACTTTACTAAGAACATTGGTAAAAATAAACTCGATGTCAAGAATTTTGACGTTGACGCCTTGGAAAGGAGGCTGAAGAAGGCCAAAAGAGAGGTAGTTATTAGCTGAAACTATTCATTATTAATCTATAATTGTATTTTGAATAACGACAATTCACGGACAGCAAAATGCCTGATTAATAACAATAATTTATCTTATCACAGTTGATTGTTACTCATTCTATTATGTAATGAGTTTTAGTGGAATATTAAGGAGTAGTAATTGAGGATGTTTGATTAATATTTTAGAAACCAAAGTCTATTCAACTGTACAACCAAATAGGGAATTTTTGGCGAATAAAGGGCGATGCGAACAAAGCCATCGAGTGCTTTCGCAAGGCTTTGGCCGTATCACCACACAATGCTGAAGTACTTTTGAGCCTTGCCAGGATGCTATTTTCTCTCCAATACTTAGATGATGCCATATATCTGACTAGAAGGTCGCTGGAAGTTCAAACTGCCGAAATAGGTAAATAGTGTGGATCGTTTGATGAAAACTAAACTACTAAATATCTGTTTTTAGGTGCTTGGCAACAGTATTTTACGTTAGGCGAGATTTTTAAAGCGTACGGCCACTACCAAGAGGCTTCCGTGCATCTGAGACACACCTTAGAATTGAACCCGAAGTTCGAACCCGCTTACTTGGCTCTGCAAGAGATCGAGGCCATTCCCACTGCGACAATTCACATGTACACGCTAGTTATTATAGTATGTTTGGTAGGTGTTTGAACTATTTCGTTCGAAACGAAGCGTTTAACAGCATCTAAAATTGTTCGCAGGTGTTAGGTGTTCTGCTAGTGATACTGTCTTCTGTAGATAATTCCGAGGAAATCAAACCTCAACGGCATTTCAACAAAGCAATGGCGATGAGATCGCTCAAGGGGATCTCGATGACCGCGAAGCGCTGCAAACGGACATATTAGTGTAACATGTAAAGTCGATGTTTACTACGTTATTAATAACTATTTGAAAATTCTGTTGGGCGTTTCTGTATCTTCCTGTTTTTCACGATTGCACTACTTTTTACTGGGAATCGAAATGTGTATAGAATGAGAATTTTGTACATGTAATGTAAAAAATAATTGCTGGTAGTATAAAGATCACTGGAAAAAAGGACAGTCTCGTTTAGTGTCTGTTTGCACGCAATACGTTCCACGAATACTGCAAAAAAATAGGTACTTTATAGTAATTTTGTGTGTGGAAAAATCGATCCTTACCCAAAAGGTGTTTGCTCGCCCATTGGGATAGGTTTCCCCGGGAGTAATCCCCAATTTGAGGTGGTTTTGGGGCATTTGGCTGTACAGGGACGTCCCATAATCGAATTTCCAAACTTTACAGTCTGGGCATAGTAGCAAGCGCTTTGGAAGTGGCTGCATCTTGCTCTACCTACAACGTTAGAATGAAACAACACATTTTTTGAATACCTAAAAATTTATACTCCGTTATCTACCGGGAGATGTAATAGGAACTTCTTGAAGCAGTAAAGGGTGGTAGTTAATTGAGTGTTCATACTTCAGGATGTGAATATTTGGATGATTTTAAGAAGAAAAGTTTTTTATCAATATATACGAGCAACCGGGCCTATATGTACTAAACCTCTTAGTTTTCGAGCTACAGGATGATACAGTTTTAGAAAAAAAATAACATTTCTATCATAATATTCTTATAACTCCAGATATTTTTATGAAATTTAATACACAATTTTTAATTATTGAGGAGCATTTTTTGGGGCTAAATATTTTTAAAAATTTTTACCAGCGACGTCTGCACGGGGTTTGAACTGAATATATTTGAAGAAAAAATGGTACGCCACTGTTTTCTCTAAAAACCAAATTTATTTTTAAAATCCCCGTTTATTTTGGAGCAAATTCGATCCTAAGAGTTACTTTCGTACGACGCACCTTTTTCGCGTAAAAAAATAAAAACCAAAACATTTTTTCCCAAGTTCATTTTGAGACTGCTTTTGAATTTTGTTGAATGTTGATATTTTGTTGAAATTTGATAGGCGCCCATCATGCATGGAAACACTTTTTTTTGGGACAAAAATTAATTTTCTACTATTAACACGTCCAAAATTTCATAAAAATATCTGGAGTAATAAGAAAATTATGATAGAAAAGTATTTTTTTTTCTAAAACTGTAACCCTGGTAGGTCAAAAACTGAGAGGCTTAGGATATATATTAATATAAACTTTTCTTCTTAAAATCATCCAAATCATAAAATTCACATCCTGAATTATCGGCACTCAATTAACACCCTGTAATATCCTTTATACAGAGTGGCTCAATTACTCAATGGTAAGAACCTTAATAAATATACTTGATTACTATCTCCTGATGGTGAAGGGAGTATATCTCAAAATTCGTACGTAATCTGTGGCCGTAACAACTCGGCTGGAACCTTCCCCCGTTCACGCAGAAATCCACGTGCCCTACTTGGTTGATTTCGCCCAGAAATCCAGCGTTTGTGTGGATAACTTGCACTTGATACGCATCGTCCTGCGTTAGCCTGAACGTGGGATTGGCAAATTCGTTAATAAGCGGTCGGGCGGGATCCAATCCTAAAATAAATCCTCCGTAATTTCCAACTCCTTTCCAATGAATCGTTTCATATGAGCTTTTATATGGACCAACGACATACCTACGATTTTATGTTGTTTTTTGGTCAAGTGATTGCTGATCATGCCGCAAATATGGGCGCCTAACGAGTGCCCGATGCAGGTGGTTTCCGTGGCGATGCCTCCGTTGTTCATAATGAACGAGTACAATTTAGCGGCGCACTGCCCCACGATTCTGGTATTAGAAAGTGCCGATACATAACAAGGAAAGTGCGTTATCGGCGACCAGTCTACCGTAAAAATATTGTACTTTTTTGTGGATAGAAAAGCTGAAAACAATAACCGATATGAGGCGGATCGGTTGAAATTTAGAAGTAGAAAGCTCGGAGTTTTTTTCCGGGCGATTAAATTCGATATTGTTGATGAGCGAGGCGATTCTTTGATATTAGATTTTTGCTGCTAATTTAAAGGTGCAAGTAATGGCTGTCCCTTACCGTTCCGCAATATCGTAATTGGAGATCTACTTTCCGTTCCGTTGAATCCGTGAATAATCAGCACGTTCTTTTTATCCGGATCGAAATTGGAATATTCTAAAGAGTAGCGATTTCGTACGTCGATTATTATTCGTTTCGTGCCGGTGTGACTATAAAAATCAAATTTAATAAACTTTTTAAGTAATTTCTGTATATAACTTACGGAGTGTACATGTAGTAGCGAATATCATTATCAGGGCATTGATAATATTTTTTCAATACGCATCGCCAGTAGCTTAGGTCCCATATATTCCAGATTCCTCCATAACTTCCTAAAAATAATCAAAAATTCAGTATCCTAACTCATCTTGTAGTAATACTCCCACTGTTGATCTACTGTTTCAAAAACTTCTTTGCATAATTTTTTTCTTACCTTTAAAATACACCCCGATAACAATAAGACTCAACAAGCACCAATGTATAATTTGCATTATTTCACTACAAAATTGCATTAAGCGCCGAACTACACTGTTGTTTACTGAGAATCCTAACAACAAATCCAAGATCAAATGTTTACGGTTACTTCATCGTCCATCATCGAATCTGGGGCATCTTCGTTTAAAAACCTTGAACTTGCTTTTTGCACTACTGGTCCACTAAACGCATTTCAATGCAATAGACAAACGCGAATTTTTATTCATTTGTATGCACCCAACCTACCGCTTTACGCTCCACAGAACTTTACAGAACGTTATAAAATGCTTTACAATCGAAATCTACGAGTAGGAATAAGAAAAATCCATAATGTGGCAACTTTATGTACTGTAAAAGAGTTATCTCTTATAATTTCAATTCATACGTAGTCCTGAAGATGGTCGATTAAACCGAAACTAGTTGCTAATGAATAACGAACGATTTGTTTTTTGTATGCACAAAAGAAAATAAGACATCATTTATGAATATAAACATTTTATTATATCGTAAACATGATGATATTACATAATAGCCGGTAAAAGTTTTCAGTAGTACATGAACACAAAGAATTACACCGTTTCCGATCCGCCCTGTTGTTGTTCATGTACTAACTGGAATATTTACGAAAAACATCGTCGGGTTGGTTCGGTTTTACCATCCGTGTCCCCATCCATGACCCCAGCCATGTCCCCATCCGTGACCGCCCCAGCCCCAGCCGGGTCCGGCGACGACCACCCCCGAGTGGCCTACAGCGGGCACGACTACAGCGCCCCCGTGGCCCCAGCTGGGGGCTGCGGAAGCTACGGCCAAGAAGGCGAAGAAAGCGATGAGCTGGAAGATGAATTTAACGCCGTTAAAGAGACGATGAAAGTTGAAAATAAAAAAAAATAACCAGAATCCGAAGCAAGGGCATGTATAGATCGAATCTTGACACTACACTATTACATTTCTATCGTATATTTCCGAGATTAGAATAGGCAGATCGAGATATTACGCCCTTGATTCAGAATTTGGGCGTAACACTATCACCAATAATATTTAATTAATTATTTTAAATAACAAAGGACTTACCAGAAGTTTCATTTTTCAATGTTATAGCTACTTGACAAACAGTAACACAATCAACTTATCCTCTGGCTTTGATTTATATACCCAAGCACATCTCCCTTTAAATGGCCTTCGAAGAATTGTTAGAAAAAAATTTTAATTACACATTCTTATGGATTTCCGCAATTGTTTTGGTCCTGCCTCTTTGATTTACTTTTACTTCGCATGTAAATTGCGTTGTCACTTATATTATTGTTTATTAATTGCGAGTAAAAAAATTGTTACAATTATCTTAAAGAATTCTTGCAAGGTTTCTTGTATAAAAACCAATAGATAGGGTTGGGTAATTTTAGGTCTCTAAAGTTTGGTTTTAAATTTAGTAAACCATAATAACAAGTTGTTCTGATGCAGATTTTTTTCTTGCAATTCCTTATTTTTTCTTTATATATTCTTAACATATTTTCCTTATATAAATGAAGGCCACTGATAAGCGACTAAAATTTACGACACAAACACATGTAACAGTAGGTATTACTTGTTATAGTAATATCAAGTAAGTATAAAGTCTGCAGTATAAATATTCCAGTTAGTGCCCTCATAAGCTCTTTGTTTCATTGGGGTTTTTTGTTGATAAAATATTCTCATTAAAATTGGTTAATGAAAAATAATGTAATTTCGAGAATTTCATTACCATCGACGTATTATCGCTATTTAGGAAAATACATTAATAAGTCATGCACAAAAGGGGAAAATAATATGGGGCCAACGAAGCCAGTTAAAAAGCAATGAAATGAAGGAATATTTGTAGAAAATTCCATTTTTACCAATAGCTAAAAAATGGAAATGTTGCTCCCATGTTCATAAATCGCAACTTTAACATAAATGTATGATAAATTATTCCCAACAATTAGTCACATATATTGCGAAATTTTAGTTACATATATATAACTTCCTGCGCAAAAGCATAAATGTATCAAGAATATGATATCTGACAATTAATTCTTGGTAAAAAAATTAATAATTTTACTGTATTTCAATAAGAATATAATGCAGTAAGAGAGCAATAACAATTCGACTTCCGTGGCTAAATTTAAACGCCCATTAAATGCTCAGATTTTTCAATATATTAGCACGAAGTAAATATTTATTCATAAAGATTAAATGTAATTTAAACTATTTGTAATGCAAATTACCAGACAAAACTTATTTATGTGAACACTCGGGTTGAAATTACATTAAACAAATTTTCGTCTTCCCTTCCTGCAGTTCAGATCATTATGTTCATTATCATGTGGAAAAACTTGATAGTGCTTACGTTTTTAACAGGTAAATAATTTTGAACGCACGTAGGAGGAATAGTATTAATATTTCTTTAAAATTTCAGTACTTCACTTCACAGCTTCCAATCAACGTAAGAATATAGTTTTATTATTAGATTTTTATTTGAATTTTCTTCATCAATCCTTCTCCTAAATCCATCTTATTGGTTTTAGCTTGTCTGGTTAAGGAATATAGTAAAGGCTATACAGTTTGTGTATGCAATTCATCATATTGTGATACAATATCTCCAATTGAAAAGCTAAAGCCTGGTAAATACATTGCGTACACTTCGAACAAAGCTGGATTGAGGTTCCACGAAAGTAGAGGAAACATGAAATTGCTGGGAAGAAGGAAAAACGCTATAAAATTTGGGAAAAAACAGTACCAAAAAATGTTAGGTTTCGGAGGCGCATTTACCGATTCTGCTGGTATCAATATAGCAAGCCTAGAGGAGGCTGCTCAAAATAACCTTCTTAAGTAAACAACCATATTTTGTGCAATAATTCTTGATTAATCTCTCGTTTGTAGATCGTATTTTAGTGATACTGGATTGGAATACAATTTTGGTAGAGTACCAATTGGTGCTTCAGATTTCTCAACACATCCTTATACGTATGATGATACTTCTTTCGAAGACCCAGACTTGAAACATTTTAACCTAACTGACGAGGATTACAATTATAAGGTATATAGAACTGTTTTTCTCAAATTTCAAAACTTTTTCTCTCTCACTTCATTCAGGTATTAACTTATTTTAGATACCACTTATAAAAAAAGCGAATGAATTAAGCAAGAATAAATTACGATTAATAGCTGTGCCGTGGACGTCACCGAATTGGATGAAAATTATACCTCAATATGCTTCATTTTTCAGCGAATTGAAAAAGAGCATGTATCAGCCTTGGGCAGATTATCAATTGAAATTTTTGGAGGCCTACGATGCGAATAATGTCTCATTTTGGGGAATTTCTACTGGAAACGAACCGACTGTAGGATATTTCCCTTTCGGTATACCTGTTGTTGCATTCACACCTTGGGAATTGGTAATTATTAATTTATTGAAAAGCGTACCTATCTACATATTTATATTTTTGGTATACCGATAATAGCGGATGACTATGCGTAAATACCCGTGTAATATTAGTCAAGCATGATAATTATGGTTTATGATATCTTAATAGCTTTTTAGAGAATTGAAATTGTTTTTAGGCAAAATGGATAGCCAATCACTTCGGTCCTACAATTCGAAAATCTAAATTTTCCAATATAAAGATTATAACACTGGATGACGAACGGCCGTTTGTTCCTTTGTACATAGGTTTAGTAAGTTTCCAATTTAATTGCAAGATGCCCTAATGGCATTAATAGCATTTTTGAAATCGGTTTTCTCCCTTCAAGATGTTCCTAAACAAGAAGGTCGATGATTATGTGGACGGAATAGGAATTCACTGGTACTTTGACAAAGTAACGCCTCCGTTTTTACTGGACATTACGCACGACTGGCACCCAAGCAAATTTTTATTGATAACTGAAGCTTGCAGAGGTTAGTTGAGGAATTTAATGATCATTTTAATTTTTTATGGCATTCGAATATCTTTAGGAAACGTTCCACTGTTAGATAGACACATAGAAATGGGCTCCTGGCCAAGAGCCGAGGACGTAGCAAGGGGAATGATTGAGGTAAGAGAATACATTCCTAAAATTCATTTCTCTAAGGACTTAACCACTGTTCTTTTTTGGATGACAAACTAATAATGAATTTGCAGAATATGAAACATTGGGTAACCGGTTGGATCGATTGGAACTTGGCTTTAGACACGAACGGAGGGCCCAACTATTCGTCGAATTTCGTCGATTCTCCCATTATTGTAAATGCATCGGCGGGAGAATTTTACAAACAGCCGATGTTTTACGCTATTGGGCATTTCTCAAAATTTGTCCCTGTCGGTTCGAAGCGGATTGATGTATCCGGTTTCGATAGAGACGTCGAAACCATCGGGTTTAAAAGGCCCGATGGCGGTTTTGTAGTCATTGTTTTGAATAGGTATGTAATTGGAGTTTGGTTAATTTTAAATCTGCAAATTTTCTTTGCTTTTATTTCAGAAAAAACAAGAAAATTGATGTTACGATAGTTGAAAACAGCCGGGGACAAATTCCGCTTAGATTGACCCCTAATTCTCTAACTTCTGTAATATTTTGGTAACCTTTTGAAATTGAAATCAAAAGACTGACCTAATTCTAAAATATTTATTTAAAGAATGCTCTATGAACACAAAAAACAAATTTAGAAAACAATATCTCAATAAAGTATGATAATCAAGTATCAATAAAGTTTGATAATACCAGTTGTACTATAAATGCTTTAATTAATTCTTTATTTCGTTGGCGTTTTTTGTTGATAAAAAATTCTCATTAAAATTGGTTAATGAAAAATAATTTCGTGAAATTCATTACCATAGACGCATGTAGGTAAAAATTATCGTTATTTAGGAAAATATATTAATAAGTCATGCATAAAAGGGGAAAATAAAATAGGACAAACAAATGATAATTAACTGCAAATTAAATCATGCTAAAAAATTAATACTATTACTATCTTACATAAAGTATTTCAATAATAGTATAATATAGTAAGAATGCAACAGAAATTCAACTTCAGTGGCTAAATTTAAGAGCCATTTATAATGTAAGAATTTTCTAATATATTAGCACGAAGTAAATATTTATTCGTAAATATTAAATTTAATTTAAACTATTTGTAATGCAAATTACCAGACAAAACTTATTTATGTGAACACTCGGGTTGAAATTACATTAAACAAATTTTCGTCTTCCCTTCCTGCAGTTCAGATCATTATGTTCATTATCATGTGGAAAAACATGATAGTGCTTACGTTTTTAACAGGTAACATTTGAAAGTACGTAAGAGAAATAATATTAGGTTTGTTCCTACAACAGTCAGAAATAGCCGGTGGACGTCAGGAGTCTGCGCAGTAATAATTTAGGCGTTCCAACAAACTCCACAGACATCTCTGATTCTGATTTGGTTAACAATTTATTGTTCCAACAGTTCAAGGGACTGGTTTTGTGATAGTCAGGAAAATTTGCTGATAGTACAGAGATTTAGAATCCGGCGCAAGCGCATTTTCAATTCGGGTTTAATTTGTATTTCTGAATATAGGTTAATTATTAGGTTATGTTGTTTGTTGTTTTTGTTTGATACTTGGTGAATATGTAATAAATGTAAAGACTGTTCCATCAAGAAATCGGAAATTTGATTACACCATTCAATCATAAACCGCGCATGCGAAATAGAAGAGTCAGAAACTTATTGGTAACAAATCAGTGACTTTTTGTAGGAACAAACCTATTAATATTCCTTTAAAATTTCAGTACTTCACTTCACTGCTTCCAATCAACGTAAGGGTATATTTTTAATATTAGATTTTTATTTGAATTTCAGTCACATAAATCCATCTTATTGGTTTTAGCTTGTCTGGTTAAGGAATATAGTAAAGACTATACAGTTTGTGTATGCAATTCATCATATTGTGATACAATATCTCCAATTGAAAAGCTAAAGCCTGGTAAATACATTGCGTACACTTCGAACAAAGCTGGTTTGAGGTTCCACGAAAGTAGAGGAAACATGAAATTGCTGGGAAGAAGGAAAAACACTATAAAATTTGGGAAAAATCAATACCAAGAAATTTTAGGTTTCGGAGGCGCAT